CCCAGAAGACAGAAATCTTCATACTCATCGCCCTGATGACGGAGGCAGTATGACCTCTGAAACGTTGTTAAACATCGACCAGACTACACAGCGCAACAACCCAGAAGACAGAAATCTTCATACTCATCGCCCTGATGACGGAGGCAGTATGACCTCTGAAACGTTCGTAAACATCGACCAGACTACACGGCGCAAAAACCCAGAAGGCAGAAATCTTCATAAAAATAGTTACAAAGCCAACTGGTAAGTCAGCACATGGCAGTCGACGTTTTATGATGTTGAAAGCCTATTATCGATAATAATCCAGACCGTCTCCGTCACTGCTGGTTAGCAACAGTTCTTATAATTCGCAAGTGGAATCTGCTAGGACACTCAGGACTCCGTTACAGTCGCATCATTATTAGTGTTGCCTAACGACAGTCGCCACTAACAGTAATAATTAGTACTTATGAGTGCCAGTTTGAAACAGTGAACAAATGAGGTTAGCTTTTATTTGCTAAAAGCTTTCACTAACACGACTTAATCTATAAATGCTTTTTGCGCAATCTTGACATTAGAAGTTTAGACCATTGGCAAATTAGCCCGGAGACACGGTGATCCTTTAATTCAACATGAATATATAATTAGTATGTTGTAAATGAGAACGATATTTGAAGATGGCTGTATTCTTGAAAGTTGCTCCGCGTAGTCTGGTAGATATCGACCGACGTTTCAGAAAAGTTTATTGCCTCGCTACCCTGATCACGAAGGCAGTAAGCTCATCTGAAGCTTTGACCATTACCTAACAAACTATAAGATACAAAATCCAAGAAGACAGCCATCTTCATACAAGTCGTAGCGAGAAACTTATCTCTCGCCAAGAACGATATTTTTATTTGTAACAATTTCAGCTATGAATCATAGAAAGAAATTGTGTATCTCATAATATGGTGTAATCACAGATGGATCTAAAACAGTGTGGTGGTTTCCCATTTGAATATTTTATAATACATTTATCTGCAGACGCATTAACACTCTGAAGACTATTCCTTCACGAACCCAAACAACATTATTCTTCCATCTACGTCTAGGTCTCTTTAAGATATCTCTTCCTTTATGTTTTGCTACTAAAATTTTGAAATCATTTCTAATTTTCTTCATGCGTGTTACATGTTCCCCCATCTCATCTTCCTTGATTTTGTCACAAACAAATAATGCTGTATTTTCAAAATCGGTCAATACTAAATATATAAAAGGACAGAAAAACAAATTACCATATTATCAACTTACAAAAGTCGCTACATGAGATGTAGATTGGCTTGCGATAAATTCGTGTTAGTGGTAATAGACCAGCATTTTCCTCCATAAACTGAAGACACTCGAGGAAATTCTCAAGACTGGTTTTAGATTTCCCACTTCGGACAGGCAGGGCACTCACCGCTCCCAGGTGACAGGTGGCGATGGACAAGCCGATGGCCAGGGGGGCTGAGCCCTTCAAGTCGGTTCGCCTGTCGTCACACACGGCCTCCACAGTCAGCACCAGGACGAACGTGATCAACGCCTCCAGGAAGAAGCCCTGCAGCGGTGTCACCAGTTCGTTGATGGTTGTCATGCCTAGCGAGTTCACCACGTCCTTCGGAGTCAGGGCCTGAAACGGACGCAGAAACTGAAGTTTCAAGATCGAATTTCTCTCAGCTTTGCCTAATATCAGGACAAACTCCGGTCCTTTGATTTTACTGCGCACTTGAAGCTGCTTTCTGTGTGCCGAAAAGTATTTTACGTGTTTTTGGTATTAATTTCATTTCCACGCCTCTTCAAGATCCAGGACAACTCAATCGGTATAATGACTAGGCTATGGACTGGATGACCAGGATTCTATTTGCATCAGGGCAGAGTTTTCTTCTGCACCACATCAATACCGGGTCGGTGGCCCACCCAGCTTCTTGCCGAACGCGCACCGGGACCTTTCCTCTGGGTTAAAACGGCCAAAGCATTAAGTTAGCCATTCAACTTCCGGATTAAAATACACGGAGCGATAACTGCACTCCATTATACGTCTGCATGGCTCCGTACTTAATTGAAAACTATGAACATTACTTTTTCTGTCTCTATTACGAGCCTGAAGCAGTCCTGGGTATGAACCCTAGTCGTTACAGCATTGACGTGCTAGTGCCTTCTAGCGGGGCTTCGCACGTGTCTTGCTCGCTACACTGGGTGTTCCATAAGCGTACAAAAATAAAGAATATTTTAATTTATCTAGCCGTTGCACTCCAGTGATAAGATTTTGGACAGTCCTGGTACACACGAATTCAACAGTAAATCCTCCAACGTCAGCAATTACGCAATGCAATAGACAGAGATTATTTTAAGATTTATCACCCAACATCTCGCCTTGTATTTCTGTTTCAATCCTTCACACAGGCCATCAATATCGTAATCTTAATGAACTACCGTGGGAACAGAACCCAGTACAACCAGATGGTGCAATTGAAATAACATGATTACCTGCATCACGCAACAAAAGATACTCAACTTTTCAGGTTCTTTTTTGGACTGAAATTCTGAACGTCGTGTTGTATTCTTGTATTCTATTCCACAAAAATACTAGAGTCCGTATCCTCGAGACAGTGATCTTTTATCTTGTACTGGTAGAATTCTCTGTAATAATATACCACGTAATACACATGTAAGATTAGGTTTCCTGGGCCCAATCTGATACATTTCGTTCTTCCAGGACCTCAGTCTTGAAAAGCAGGCTGAGATTTAACACCCATCCATCTGCGTTACGTTGACAGTCTGCTGGATTGCAACAAAAACCCTGGCACGAGGCAAAATTACACTTTGCCTATAAAGCTGTATTTAGATTACACACATGTGTACGGTTAAGTTTATAATTACGAATAATCGTATACGGTCAACACACTCCATCTGGTGGTCTTAGCTTTCAGAATATTTCACCTAGAACGCGAGATATCCGTTGGACCGTACTTAGCAGTAAACTCTGGCGTTGAATGAATTTATATGTAAACTTTCAAAACCTTCCTTGAGATCACAGATCACTTTTGCACCATAAACCGGCTATGGTGGCCTAGCCAAATGGAGAGAACTGTGTACAGAAGAATTCGATACACGAATATACTCTGTATCTTAAATCGACAATTGTGTGGTTATGAATGTGTCGCGCACCATAATAAGGTAAATACACAATTCGGATGTGACTAATAAATAGTATTCCGATGCATCGCTTTGGCTCTCAGCAGCCGGAAGCTATAAGGAAGTGGTTGTACGCTCGAGTGACCGCAACATTGGACAAGGTCCATGAATGACCGTGAGAGAAAGCAAGAAGGTGCTATGTTGTATGATCGTAATTCAGCTCATGCAGGACCGAGGTCAGAAAAGACGCAATTCTTTACCTGGCCTTAACATCGGTCTGCAGCTGTTCATAAGTCGTAATTTTAATTTTATTTGTGGACACTGCTTTATACAGAACATCTTCCTTTACTCAGAGCCAGGGTGAACGACAATGTGACGACTTCATCCGTGTTAAACACATTCGATTTATCGTGGTAGTAATCACTCCAGCCAATTCTCAACTCGCCCATTCGTGCTACATGCCTCCAATTCATCTTATATGATAGTAATACAAATTATAAAGTCTTTAGTATGCAATTTTCTCCTTTTACTTCTTGTATCACAGTCAAATGTACCGCTTAGCATCTCACTAACTGTAGAAGAAGCCTCTTTTTGTCATTTCTTATTCCTCATCGTGATATTAAGCCACGTGAGCGATAATTCTATTATGATCATAGATGCTAACCAGGAGACGGATTAGACAAGTAAAATCTGTACCAAAAGACGACATATTTATAATGAAAAGTGCACAGAAGTGGACAGCCACGTCTCAGAACGAACATGTTGACTAATTGTATTAATACATGACGCCATGGAAAATACTGCTGAAAAAATGTTAAATGTGTCTCTCTCTTTCTCATCGAACTTCTTCGTTGTGAGGCGTCTTTGTACTGTCAACAGTAACTGATAAGCTTTCGGCAATAGTATTTATTGCGAATTGGTGTTTCTGGAAATGTTTAAGAAATTCGATTTGAATTTCGTTTCTTTGTGCTATGAGAAAAGGAAATATCTGAAGTTAAGAAAAATAACAATCCTAAACATGTAACTGTATTCAGCTTACCTCTAGAAATGTGCAATTCTTTCACAGCCCTCGACAAATCATACCTCACTGCACATATTAAAATTATCAGTACAAAAATACAAAGTTTTTGAAAGTTAAGTCTGTTGTAGGCCTACTCTTTCACGTAAGACGCTACTCCAAACTTTGATTTTTTTTGTTACAGAACGACCAATTTAATTTACATGCGTTATTCACGGACATATTTTTCATTACTAGTGTCTTAGTTATACGTAAATGTTAAAGCACTGACACAGACACACTGAAAATTTGAACATAAAAACTCAGTGTCGAGGAGAGATGTTCACTGAATGAACGGGCAGGCGTGGACGGCTTACCTGCAGCACAGCAGCTCCAGCAACTGCGCCGATGCACTGCACCGCGATGTAGAAGACAGCCTTGAGGATGCTGATGTGCCCCGAGAAAACGAGCCCACACGTCACGGCTGGATTGATGTGACCCCCACTCACATGCCCCAGTGCCTGCAACAATTGTATAACGCTGCACTCACTGTTGCGTTCATAGGACTACTTAAATTCTAGTGGAAACACTCGTTCTTTACTTGGACTTTTACTATGAAATCTTATAAACACAAGGCAACATTCCCAATGATCAATGTTCTACGTTTTTATGACCGTGGAGCCGCATGGCAATCTCTTTTTTACATTAACACTAGTCTAACAACGAAGGACGCACAGCTTTTGATCTTTAAAACCAAATGTTCTCTATTGTGACTCCGTGTGAACTCGTAGGTGGTTATATACCAACATTTCGGAGAAAGATGCTGTACATAATTACATGTTAAACTAAATATTTAGCACACAACAGCTGAAAACACCATGCCAGTAATAAAACGCGTCAACAAACCGAGTAAAAATTCTAGACATATCAACTGCGGATTTCACTAATAATTATCATCAAACGATTACATCGAAACTCGTGTAAAAAAACGCGAGTTCTCTGGAGGGACTTTGGAGTGACTAATTCAAATACATTGTACGTTTAAAATTATTGAACGACATTTGTTTAGGATTGGGCCTTACTTAAACCTTTATTTAAATAATTATTATCCAATTATAAGGATCACAGATATTGATAAGCAAGTGAGATACATATTAATATAGCTCTCTCTTTAATGCTTAATTTTACTCCATCTGTAAAGATAACATATGTCACGAAATAATCTGGCGGGTAAAACACATTGACTAACTGTTGTCATTTAACGCTGCTAGCGAGATTAGCAGTTTCGTGGTGGTATCAATGGTAAACTGTCGAATCCGTTCATAATATTAAAAAGATAAAATTACGTAGAAATGTTTGTCAAAAATTCATCGACCGAATCCAGATTCTGCAATCCCATGTTATCTGACAATCGCAGGTACTTTAGCCCCAGGGTTGCTGTTTTATCGATCAAAAGTGAGTAGTACAGTCCAGGATGCTGAGAGACAGAGTCGGTTGCCATAAACCGTGCACAAACAAATATAACGAAATCTAATAGCAAACAGCAAACTTGGAGAGAAAACGGGTCTCGTGACAGAGGTCATGCGGAGGTATGCTGAAGACGAAAACCGCATGTTTCTCCGAAATGTTGGTAACCACATGCGAGTAAACACGGAGTCACAACGCAGAACATCACCTTGAGAACCTCAAATCTTACAACGGATGCAACTGTTAAACTGTCCTATGGGCATTGGCTGTAAGTGAGCTGCTACTACCTCGTACAATTCGATGTTCTCACGGCGTCTAGTATGAAGATTGCAGTCTCCATAATTAATTTCAATACAACGAACAGAGGTTTTGGAAACTGCACACCTTCCGGATCACGTCAAGAACCAGCTGTGGCTGACCAGACATTGCGGTTATGCTACAAGCGCGATTCTAATTGGTGCCAAGTCTGGAGGTAGAATTACCATGCCGCTGACATGGATACTGTAAGAAGCTGTATACAACATAATCACAAGTATTAAGAGTGCACTAGCGAACGCAATATCCTGTTGCTAAATGCGTAGAGAATGAGTCACGTTCCTGGGTATCGAGATCAGATCTCGCTTGTGATAGCGCGTAGCTAGTTTTTATTAACTGGTCAATGCGTTAACACTATAAATTGCATTGCTTATGTGTTTGTGAGAATAAGGCAAGCACGAAACAGATCATTGCGTCTGACGGTTCGGTTCTGTTGTAAGAATCAATTTCTCTTAAAGTATCTATCGATAACATAATTCACATGACTGGGAAATAGAATGCAGTTAGGAAAGCATTACAACAAACTGACATGGAGTATTAATATTTTCTCCATGCCCTTAATATTTGTCTACGTTCTTAAATAACCTATCATCAGTAGGAAAAGTAACCTCAACTTCAATGTGAACCAATGTTTCTGTCCTGTAGTACTTCTTAAAAAGAACAGTCTTGCATTCAAAATGTTGAGTTTCCCTCTCAGTTATCCGACTGTCAGGTTTCATTGCTTTGGACTGTACTGTTGTTAATTTATGTTTCTTACAGTAAGCATAAGGCGTTTCGGAACAAGCCAGCAGCTATCACGGTAGGCATTAGGCACTTCATAAGCAAGATAAAACTAACAAATTGTAAGTAGTAGTAAGGAGTTTCTGTTTCGAAGTGGTGTTCGCATCTGCATTCAAGACAAGTGTCAGAACAAGACCCAGTTCCTTCCTAACGTTACCACACAGGGCAGATACGAAAAAAATGACAAGTGTTTCTGCACAAGACATGGTGCTGGTCTAGCTCTATTATCATTATTATTTCCTCAGGGCCCATTAACCACTCCTATATGCTGTTGTTTAATACTTTTTTATTCTTCGGCAACCCCCTGGGGCACAGTGTCCCACAGGCCGTGGCCCCACCCTCACACGTGCTAGCACACAATGATTTCATAAGCCAATGGCGGAGCCTGAATTACTGGTTGTTCTCTGCATATGAATAGTGAACAGTGAACAAAACTATTATTCTGTTGAATCCTATTGCGTCAGTGTTACAACGAAAGCTGATATGACACGCAACAGGACGCCTTAATAGAGGCAGGCCGCACGAATGTCGTGGCCCACAACCTATTCGACTGGCATTGGAGGAAGAAAGTGTAAATGACTCCCTGCAGTGCAGAGGTTTAGAATTCCTTAACTCTCCTATTCACCTTCACGGCTAAGTACAGGGATAAACTATCTATAATACAAGAAAGGCGTCCCTGAACGACTCCTGATGTAACAATACAGAATATAGCTAATTGTAAGAGTAACAGAAGAGAGAAACCAAGCAACAGAAACCGAGCAGTAGACTTACAAATACAATTTCACTGTCATATTCCACTTTTGCTCCAAGTATAGGGTGCTGCGTGCCTGAATCAGGAGAAAGGCTGTATCAACGAACTACTACGCTGGTCCTTCCCATTCAGAAAGAGAAACGACCGCTGCAGGCGGGAGACCTAGCATCCCGACCACTCCGTCACGAACACAGGTGGTCCAGGTTCGATGCCTGGGCAATCAGTAAAATGACTCTGGGGCAGGTTCTTCTCAGGGCAGGGAGTACTTCAGTTTTCCCCTGAGTCATTTTATCACACACAAGAACTGACAAAATACGCACATTTCAGGAAGGAGTAGCAGAGGGACGTGTGTCGTCTCCTTTTATTACCCGGGTCTGCGTTGTGTAACTAACGCAACGTGCAGACAGGTTGGCCCGTGTCTACTGTCCTTTCAGCGCTTGGTTCACTTTTTTGTTGTATATTTAACGACGTTGTCTGTAGTTCAGACGGCAGAGCTTAGAATCATAGTAAAGAAATGGACAGTACATGAAAGGAAATAGTCGCGGCCTAACTTAAGGCACTATTCCAGCATTTGGAGGGACTGAGGAAAGCCAGAAAAGCCGGTCTATGTACCGAGATTTGATCCCAAGACTTCCATAAGACAAAGCAGGAGTGCTAACCACTCCGTCGCGACATTAGATGCACTGATGAAAATAGGCCAATTTGAAAAAGTGGTATTTTTAGAGCAGCAAGTAACTAGCCGTGTCTAGAACCTTGGTCTGTTAAATGCAAGGCCTCAAATTATGATAACTGAACAATACCTTATCATATAAGTTCTTATAACCAGGCTACTTAATAGCGAGTAATAAGCAATTATGTTCCACAAGCGTTCTATCTCTACGAATAGGAATGAACTAAGTAGGTAGGTAGTCAAGCTGATGGTTGTATCTGAGATACGACGTCCGCAAGGCTGAGTATGATCGTAGTCTTTGATAGTACGCCACATGTCCCCATACGCACTGACTTTAACCTTGAAGATGCAGTGGGTTAAATACGTCCGTTCGTAACCAGCTACAAACAAGAATACACGGAGTGAAAACTCAGGGTACCACTATCGACAGCCTTGTGGTCGATGCCTGCATTGCACCGCGGGTTGCGTCATTAAGGGCACGGAATAACAAGTTCTTCCTCGGTGACGAGTTCGAGCTGTGAATTCCGGTTTCGGACAACTACAAGAGACCTTCCATCAGTGGTTATTTCTAAATCACAAATTTACATTATTCTTAAATACAATTTTAATGCAAACATTCCAAAATGCATAAAAAAGATGAAGCCTATGATTGTACCAGAACTTGGCACCCGTTGTTACGTTTCTGGATTGTTTGTGAAAACAGTTGATGGCCGGACTTAGAATGTGCGCTACATGATTATGTTATTTAAATTTATCTAATTTGTATGAACTATAGATATTATATACTTCGAATACAGAGTGACAAGGTAATTTACCTTCGTGTTCTGAACTTTCATGCAAAAGTAATCATCTGAGACTGCTCTTTGTTGACGAACACTACACTGGCAGAAAAGTATGATTTCTTGAAACACAGAAGAAAGCAATGTATTTCGAGAAGACGCAATTTTGGTAAAGAAACTGAGTTGTTTGAAGTATTTGGCCGGCAGATCTTCATACAAATTACATTCACTTGTGTACAGAAACGTAATGTACCTGCCTTCTTTCTCCTGTTATCTAATACTTTTTCTACGCGTTATATCTACTAAGGACAGTACATTACTACTTAACTGGGAGGTCATTTCTGCCAGTCTGTCCATCTATCACTAATTGCCAAACAGAATCGAGGGCATTTTGTATTTAGTGTCTACAGTGAAAGCTGTCCTGCGTATTGTGGCCCTTACTGGCTACGCTACATTCAACAAAACTGGAATCCAAAAAAAATCTCACCAACTGCTACTGTGAAAAGCCTATTTTTAAACATTCATTTAAAAATAAAATATGTCCCAGCACAGTGTAATAACTGGACTGTTAATTGGCTACCATAAAAGTATGTCACTAACGGACCTGTGTCTGGATAAAAGTTTCAAAACCAATGGATGATAAAAACTAGGAGAGAACACATTTGGAAGATGAATACTCCAAACTGGAGCACACATCTGTTTTCTCCTTCGCGCTGTCACTCAGTTCTGCTTCAAGAATCACTGCAATTAGCAGGAACGGACATCCTGGTCTCACACTTCGTGAACTCCTTTATGTTCTGTTTGTGTTTGCAAGGGGAGGTTCAGCCAAGTGTAAATAGGCATATGTAAAGTGTGAGGAGTGTTCAATACACATTTTAAAAGCTTCTTACTGTCGTTACTGCAGTATTTAAACCGTTAGGCGAAGTCCAAAATCGAGGCCAGCAGATCAAGGAACAGTTCAATCTGAAACCAAAGTAAGGGGCCACTCTCACGTTGCAACAGTTGCTTATGACTCTTTTAACGAGATCTGAAATTATCATCACCGCCATCTTTCATCGGAGCTGACGTTTCGTTACAGTAGGTGCTCGTCCGTGGTCCTTATTCTGAACCATATGAATCCAATCTACCAACACACTGCTCAAAAGCCACTTAATATTAACTCTCCATCTATGCCTAGGTCTCACAAGCAGTCTCTTCTCTCAAGTTTTCCGATAAAAATTTTGTAGGCACTTCTAATCTCCATGTGTGTAGCATGTTCTGCTCATCTCATTGTCCTCGATTTTACAATATTATAATTATTACCCCTGTAATTAACATTAATAGTAGTTCCGTCGAAAAATTATTGAAGCAACTTAATTTTTGTTCCGCAAAAACTTTTATATCTACTGACTTAGTAAATGGTTGATGTAAACCGATAGGAACCCATGACCATTGAAAATAAATAAAGAAGAGCGAATATTGACTTTCCTGACATGTGTGGTTGTGCAATGTGGAAGTTTTTCGTTTATTTTTCGTTCAATATGTAGAGGATTTGGTAGGCCAATAACTCTGGGTGCTACATCGCCTTATAGCAATGCCAATGCGTGCATAGCGAACTCATTCATACACAAAACCCATGTATATCCAAGGGGATTCGAAATCGCGATCCAATGTCCGACAAGTCCTCAGCTCGGAAGACCGAGGTCTCATTGTTTTTCTCAGCTGACGCAACAGACACGATTGTCATACGGTCGATTCACTACTTAGAATAATTTTAAAGCGAAACATTTCTGTCATTCTTAATGGACGGTAGCAAAGAACTTGATATTAAATACTACAAATAAAGGCCAAACAATTAGAGAATTTTGTGACCCTTGAAGGCCTACTCATGACATCGTTAATTTACTCGTATAAACCAAAGAATCATCATCGAAGTAACTATAGTTTTAATGTTTACAGCTTGATACAAACAAAATCAGTCACATCATACGGAATTTCTTTACTACCTGACAGTATTATCGGCTTCTTAAGGACTTTGCTAAGTGCAGTCAGTGCAGCCGTTTCCAGAAACACTAAAGAGAGTGATTCATGGTCTCCGGTGTCTGTAGAAACCAAGTATTGCAAGGTGAAATTTTAGGTTCTCACGGCGGTG